CCCCACAAACATCCTTTGAAAAACAGCTTGCTACTTGGAGACAGCATTGCATACCATAATAAATAACTGAATGAATGAATGAATGAATGAATGAAATCCAAAACAAGAGCTGCAAATGAGACTAACCAGACATCACTCAGATTTACCTCATAATTATGTCCTTTGTATGAATCCATAGAGCTGCCACAAATTCCTCGTAAATGTTTAATTGATGCATCAACAACAACCTTGTCTATGTTTACCATGTTAAGTAACAAACATCCGCGTGAAATTTCTTTGACTGGATCCTCATGTTACATTAGCTTGGTGAACTGACATTCAATAGTAAGTCTAAAATTTTTGTTTTCTCTCAGAACTGAACCTCTAAATACAAAGGATATTTCAACCATAGTGACAAACTTTGGAGACTCCTTAAGAAGCTCATTTAAAACTCCACCATCTCCCCCTCCTAGAATGAGGATGTCTTTGTCTTTGTAGCTTTCTCTCCCATTTCCTAACAATGCTTTTGTGTAATCAATGTCACTTTCAGCCAACACTGAGGGGTATAGGAAATGAAGGGAAGTTATAATTTAGTTTGCAAATTCAATGCTTTTAATACATGTTTTGCTATAATTGTATAATTAAGTGGGAGTTAAAGGAAAATATACTGAAATGTTTTGGGCAAAAATGTTTTTTTAAGGGAATCAGGATGGTTCATTCTTGTTTTCTCTTGTCATTGTGTAATTTGTTCTTTATTTAAATGAGCATCACATGCAACCAAACCCTGGCTCAACACTTTCGTTGACCCAGCTTTATTTCTAATGGCCATTAAAAGATTTATGCCTGCATAATTACTAAAAAACCAGACTCAAACCAAAAAAAAAAAAAAAATTAGTACATGCCAAATTTCAGTCATTTTGGAGCATTTGACCATTCTTTCTGTTTTCAAAGTTACATGAATTAGTGTTTGTTTATGTGTACAAAACCATAGATAAGTGATGGTTTAATTGAAAACTTTGTTACTTACTCTCCTCCAGATCTAAAAACAACATATTTCCATAGCGCGAGGAATGAACAATCCACACATCTTGGTAATTAGACTGTTGCCTGAACACTTCCCTGAAACACAATTTACCAACTATGGTCATTTTGCTAACTTATGGTTAAGTTTTCTTCATGAAAATAACAACGAAATGATATTGTAACGAGCAGAAATCTGCGTCACTAGTATGGTTTTCAACACAAATTGACAGGAAATTTGATACACTGATGAATGGACCCTCTCATCCAAAATACATCAAAAATCTGCTCTTCTCTACTCACTTGTCAAAGTCATACTCCTTCAATCTTCCATCTGATGTATCATGGTAACGCAAAATTTCTCTTCCTCGATGAATGGTAGGGATGAAGTGAGCCTTGCAACATTTCAATGCCTCATCTACTTTGTCACGGAGATCGATGTAATCCTAGAAAATGCACTAATTAAAATAAATGATTTGAAACTCAACCTATCCAAGCCTTAGAAGGGACTGCACAGCATTTGGGGTGGTTAATCTTAATAAACTCTTTACAGTTTTGGTATTCCTTTTTCCGAAGGGTACTCATTTTTAAAATTTTAAATATCATCTTAAATTGTAATTATAATTTAAAGATTATTAATTACAACAAAACACAAGTTATTTTTTAATTTTGCTTATATCTATGGTTATACACCTAATGCAAATATGGCGACCAATTTGAGTTGCCATTGTTCTGGACTCACTAGCCGCTCACACATGTAATAATCCTTTTGTGTTTCCTTGTGAAGATGAGGTTAGTGAGTCCAGAACAATGGCAATTCAAATTGGACACCATATTTGCATTTGGTGTATTCTTTGCTTACTGGTACTTTGTACATTCCAACAAAACTTTGTCATATTAATCCAATATACTGAAAGTCCACTCCTTATTTATTAAAACTAAATGACGTAAATCACTCACACTTCTTTGGAGGATTTGTTCACTTGAAATATCATTGATATATTGCACAACATCTAAGGTGATAAGACCATCAGGAAGCAGCCGTACTGTGCACTGACTGTGAAAACAGCAAAAATTCACCTCAATTAGAAACCAGTTCTAGTTCCTAGCAAATATTGGAGCCATGGTACTAGTCAGACAGTCAATACAGCTGATATTCTCAATATTGACCATGCATGAGGTCAATATGGCTAACCAAAGAACAAATTATCAGTCCATAAAAAAAACAAAAATTACTGAGGCCACCTTGACTCTTCAGTTAATCACTGAAGGATTTATTCCATGATCAAAAAGCCAGCTTCAAGTAATTTCACTAGAAATAGCAAAGTGGCCTAGCCTATAATTCCCATTCAGAAGGCTAAGCAATATTACAGTTCCTGTTTTATCTCACACTCAAACAGAGCCAGCCATGTAACAATCCTATTCAATAATATTCTCTATACACCAATAATTTCTTTACAGTATTGCCAAGTTCAAATTTAGTAATTCTATTCCATTTGTAAAGCAGTGGAGACTGTGTGGTGAAAAATTGTATGACAGTTACATAATGAACACTGCACTCACATTCCATTCTGACCAGCAAATAGCATTGTGGTTGGACTGCTAAACTCTGGCTTATCAATTTGAAAATATTCCTCTACAATTTTTCTCATTTTTCCACTTATTGACGCCATCCAGATTCCAGATGGATCTGGTGTCACTCGAAAGTCAAGTAATGTATGATTCACTGACATCTCAGGGCTGGGATAAACTGCAAGACAGATAGATAGATAGATAATAATCTTTAGACAGGGTGCATTCTCACAGAAGTGGTTTTCAGAATGGCCCTGTAAGCACCCATCCAACCCACCCCAGGGGAGAACATCCACCACACAGTATACGCGTGTGTGGGAAATTAAAGTCTCCTACCCCTAAACCTGCAGGAGACGGGACCTCCATTTATTCATCCCTATCCGAGAAGACTAGAATATCTAACCATTTCTTGATGTTATAGCAAAGGCAGCATATTCTTCTCAATTATTTTAAGACCTTGAGTGTTGGTCTGGCTGGGGCTCGAACCCTCGACCTCCCACACAACAGTCCAGCGCTCTATCCATGGAGCCAACCAGACCAAATTTATAGGATCAGTTATAGTTACGGTTAAAATCCCATTTTGTTACCTGGCTACCAGTTGGACCAGCCTAGAATAAGAATCCATAACCCTCCTCTATCCCAAACATCAGTTACTAGGACATGTCACACAATCCTCAATTGTTCATAGTAGAATGTCTGACACACAGCTAGGTCAGTTATAAATTTTTATAGTCTTTTACCCGCATTTTTGAAAATCCTACTCTATAAAATTAATAATTCTTATGTAGTACTTCACTGCATAACAGACCATATAATTAAATATAAATTACATCGGAAAGGGCTAGATAACGAGCGGGTAGTTGGAACCTGCTCTCTCCTTCAACCCCACTCTCTAATTTCAGCCGTACCTGATTCACTATAGTTCTCGAATCAAGTGAACTTGCCTTTCTGTGAACCATATTTACCTCATATCAGTGATTTTCTAATAAAATTTAAATCACTTGTAACGGTTGAATTAATCAGTAACCGTGTACTTTGCGTTCATTACACGAGTTTATGCAGGTGGCCAGGATCGCCACTGTCACAGAAGCGAACAAGAGGGTAATTTTCAGTCCCTTATGAAATAATCGTAAGTTCAAATGAGAGATCTCATTATAAACCTCGTACCATGTGTTCAAATTGCCGATTGACGTGTCGATCAAAGAAGCTCGCTATCACCAAGTTGACACCGCGGGCTTTCCGTCTATTTTACACTTGATTCTGCCCACGATGGGAATTTTACAAACATCATCAATGCAAGGTTGCAACAAAAATAACTGCTTCTCCTATACCTTACCTTTTGAACGTCTATACTTGAGTCTGGCTCCTCCAAAATTAAAGGAGGCGAAGCGATCAATCGATCGGCAAATTGTTACACTTAAGAACTGGTTACCATTGCCGACTTTCATATCGTGAGAGACTGGAGCGAGTTTTGCCAACGCCGGACAAAATTTCAATATGGGCGCCATGGCAGGAGAATCTGCAACAGCCTCCAGTGGATCTTCTACCTCTACAGGGAAACAAGACAAGGGAAAGGGATGGCACTGGAATTTTGTAGCGGCTTTGTGCACAAACAACTGGAGAAACAAGGATTTAACGTACTATACGCTCTCAAGAAGTGGTTCATCGACTGACGCAGCTCTGAGGGCTTCTGAAAGTACTTAAGAACGATGACATCAATTGGAAGAAAGCAGTTATTTGCTCCCAGCACTGGTCGAAAGGAAAAAGAGGAAACCTGTACGATCTATCGGATCGTGTTTATAATGAACAGTATGTTCAAAATCTTGAGGAATCTGCATCAAAATGTGCAAAGTTAAAAGCAAATAAGCTGGTAGCGGCTAAGCGATCGTTAGAGTTTTCATCTTGTGAAGTAAAATCAAAAAGGCGAATAATCTTCAAGAAAGAAAGAGAGGAGGATAAGGAGATAACCCCTGTAGTAAATCTGGCTTCTGGGAAAGATGAAAGTCAATACAGACTAGAAAATGAAATGCTTAGAAATCAGTGTGAAGAACTGGCAAGTAAATTGAAAGAGAAGGACAAAGAGATGGAAAGGCTGAAATGTCAGGTAGAACACTTGCTCAAAAAAGAAAAAAAACAGGAAAATAAAATAAATGAACTGACGGAAGAACAATTCACCTACATGATGTTGAAGGACAAACATGATAAGTTCATTTATTTAACGGAACTTACCACAAATGAATTTGATTGTTTGTATTAGTGTGTTGAACCACTTTTGCATCTGATCAGATACCCTGATTGCAAAGGTGGAGGTCTTGAGACAAAGAGCAGGAAGTTAGACACAAAAACTGAACTCATGGCTTTTTTTACAGTTTGTAGACACTCACTACACCTCGGTATTATGGCTAGGATGGTGCAAACAAGTGTGCTAACAATTTCTAGAGCTTTTATTGGCTGGGCTATATTCTTATCCACAGTATTTGAATGTCTTGACCTCAAACCATTACCTGGGTTTGTCCAAGCATACCTTCCACAGGAATTTTATGACGCTGGTTATGTGGAAACCGAGGCTCTAGGAGATGCGACAAAAACTTGGATAACTCAGTCAGAGAATTATGATATAAATAATATCACCTTCAGCTCATATAAAAACCACACGACTGGGAAGACATCTGTTTGGATTTATCCCCACAGTGGTCTTCTCCATTGCAGTGACACTTACCCTGGAACAATATCTGATAAGGACATCACTGAACAATGTGAAGTGCTGGACAAAGTGAACAAAGGAAAAATCATTCTAACTGACAAAGGATTTGACATTGCAGACCTGTGCCACCATAAGGGACTACTACTTAATCCCCCTCCATTAAAGTTTGATTCCCAGTATGAACAAACTGACATCAGCAAAAATTTTGACATTGCAACACTGAGGATATACAACGAAAATTTCATTGGACGAATGAGACTGCACCATCTTGAATACCTGTTGGCCCATGAATCGAACTGATATACTAGGTTACTGCTTTAAAATCTTTGTGCATGGTGTAAACACCTTGAAAAGTCCTGTTGGCCCAAAAGGGATTGTTCAGAAATCTGTATGTAATTTAATACAAAGAACTGAGATGATCTGACTTGAATGAAACATACATGTATTTAGCCACTAAATGTAAAGTAGTGTATCATTTTTAAGTCCATTAAGCATGGCTTTTGTTTACAACACTGGCAATATTGATATTGCTACTGTTCTGATTGACAATTTGATTCTAAACATGGCCATGCTTTTGTAAAATGCAGTCTAGATGTTTAAATGATCAATTCAATCCCTGGCATTGTTATGTGTTACACTCTGTGAAAAATAACTTGTTTGACAGTTTTTGGCATTGCATTAATCCATGCTGGTGTTTATGCATTAATACTTGAGTCATCTTTTTGGTCAACTGTTTCCTTTACAA